ACCGGTTCACAAGCTAAGGTTGGCTGTGTCATTGCTATTCGTGTGTCTTACATGTTCACAACGTTTTACCTCATGAGCACTGGTGGACGGCGCTGTATGCTTCGCCTCCACTGACACGGATGCATCCCTGCTAGCTTTCGTCACCTACCCTCGGCCTTAAGTTTCATTATACGCACCACAGCGCTATTCTTTCAAGGTCTGACTGCTGCGATGCTGTCTCCAAGTTCTGTGGTGAGACCGGTTGTAATTTGAAGCCTTCTCATAAAGGAAAGCCGGAAGGCTTCCAACGGGTGGCAGGTATGCAATACAAGACCTCTCTGACCGCTGCTTGCTTTGTCATGGCTTTCAGGACATGGACCTGGAATAGACTTTGGCTTTGCCATGCAATTCCTTGGCTGACAGGAGATCTCGCCAGGTCATCTGCCAAAGCAAAGGATTTGGAGGCGGTATTGTTGAAGCTTTACAAATCTGAGCATCTCCATCTTCGACAGCTTTCCTGTGACTTTGAGGTGCGTCGCGAGACAGGAAAACGACCACCACCAAACCTGTAAAAGAGGCAGCATCCATGGCATGCAATTAGCAATATGTGAGAATATCTTGGCAAGTGTGAGGAAGGGCGGGGCAACGTGGCAAAAGTATCAATTCTGAGATTTTTGGAGGTCTTTGCCACTTCTGAGATTGAGGTTGCAAAGTTCAAGCAAGAGGCAGCACATGCAGCCCTTTGGATTTAACAATGCAGCTTTACTGCCGACTTGCTAACAGGTTTTGAGCTACATTGATCAGTGGTGCGACGAGTTGATCGCGGGCCTTCGTGATCATGGTGGCTCGTCAAGATGAGTTCAGGACTACAATGTAGTAAGGGTTTGCTTATTTCATTGCTCATCAAGTTCAGCCGATTGTTCGGTGCTGGATTTGCTCTGGTGTTTGATCCTCAAAGTCGCCCCATGCGGCTTTAGCTTGTTGCAGTTTGCCAGCCAGGGTTTTCTTGCCACCATGGCCTTGAGGAGCGGAATAGGTTGACTATCAGCCTAGTTATACTGAGCTTGTCCAAGTACATATACAGTAACTGTGTGTAATTGTACTCATGGCCAACTTTGCAATACCGTAACATTGTAAAACATGTGTTCAATATTTTAGTGTAAGGCTGGTGGGCCTCTAATGGGCCAAGTCTCCCTCCTAGCCTTTGCCGTGCTTTGCGTGCGAGACTTAGAGAAGCAGGGGCGGATTGGGGTGGTGAGGAAAGGTTCATTGCAAAGATGACGTTGTTTCTCGGGCCTGTTGCACTGTTGCAGGCAAAGAAGTAGAAGACTTGTGGCATCAAGGGCACTTCATCAAGTCTCAATCTGTTCTTGGTGGCAGTCGCAGCCTCAAGCGTTCACACACTTACCCGATTGCTCCAAACAAACTTTCCAGCTGTTACAACTTGTATCAAATTGTTTGCACCTCACCTGCCGACTTAGCCGTGTACTACGACAAGAAGAACGTTTACGCAACAGAGGTCACCAGGGACAGATATCTTTTGTGTCCACGTCAGGGGCGCAGCTGTGCAATGCAAATTTGGACAGGCTCATTGACAAGCCACAAACATGATTCCCACAAACTCAGATTTTAAGGGCCGAATGCAACTGCACGCAAACAATGCTGGATAAGCAAAGTGAGGCATGTGGCACTACACTGTGGTCTTGACACAAGAGCTTACCCGTCGAGTGACTTGACGAGAAAAGCAATGCTGTCTTTAAAGGCAGCTTGTGCTCAAGCCTGCCTGAGACGTTGTGGACCCTCTGTGTTTGGATGAGGTAAACCTGGCTTTTCCAAAGATGGACTTGTCTGACAAGTTCATTGGGAACAAGCAAGTGTCTCAAGCTTGCTAGCGTGATGAGATTGAATGTGACCCGCTGGATGTACTGTTTCCAAAGAATATCTAGGTTGAACATGAGCGTCGGAAATGGTGCATCCTTTGATGCCCACCTTGATGTCCAGCAGCATGTTTTGAAGCGAAGCAATTTCGAGGCCCGCTGTTCTCAACATTTCTCAGCCTTTGCCAGGTTGGAGTGGCAGAAAAGCCATTCAATCGGAAACTGTCGCCTTGGCCCCATTTATGGTAAACATTGTCCACAAACGCAATTCTTTGTGTGGTTCAGAAAGGAGAAGTTCATCGATCGCCCCAGGCTGCTAGTGTATCTCAACGATTCCTGGAGGCAAACTCAAGCAAAATTAAGCAGCTAAAATGCGTGAGGTGATGATTGCACTTTTGGCCTTCGAGGGCATCCATTTTCAAGATTGGTTAATTTTTCACTGTCCATCATAGAGTCAGGCCTTCCTTGGGAGGAGAGATTACTCTTCTTGGAGAAGGAGAGACGGAGGTGCATGAGCTTGCCTCTTTTTTTAATGACCCTCATGTTTTTTCGCCGCAAAGCTCTTCATCGGCTCGAACCTGCATGAGCCTTACGCGCTCCGCGGCTGCTCAAGGAGGGCTCGCGGCTGCTTTCGTTTCTACTTTGCTGCGGGAGCCGCCTCTGCCTTTTCCCCTGTATACCTGACGAGGTAACCCTGCATTGGCCTTCGCTTTTGATTGGATTGCTGCTGGGCTTGTTGTTGGGTCAGATTTTGGAGGCCCTGATATTGATCCGTCTTCAGTGGTCTTTAAATTTGAGGCAGAGGTCTTTCTGGGCCCTGAACTGGCATACCGCTCGGGCTAGGATCGCATGAGTTTTCCCCTTCGGAAGAAGTCCTTTCTTTACGAAGAGAGTTAGATATACTTCGGGGAAGGGTTGCTGCACTCGAGAACTTGATTGCCGCTCCCGCCTCTCGGCCTGAAAGCTCGCAGCCCTCGCTTGGTCCGGTCTATCACCAGACCGCCGAGAGCGAGAGTGCACCTTCGGCTGACCGCACCCAAGACAAGCAACAAGCCGCTCAGCTCCCTCTTGCATATACTGGCAGGACTCGAGCGAGCCAGGTGTCCGAGGAGTTTCGCCGTGAGGTTGCCCGTGGAGTGGGGGATTACTTTCGCCGCTGTCTTGACGGGGTGAACCGCACCGGTTCAGGTCGTGATCGTTTGAACCTCCAATCCCGGGTCTACGTGTGTGTCAGAGACGTCCGAGGTACCCTTCACAATCCAGTGAGTGTGCACCATTCGTGGGTCTCCATTCGTGACTTGGTGAAGGAGGGCGATTTCTTGGGGGAATCCATTTTCGCTGGCTTCCTTACACTTTGGGAGGCACAGCTTGCTGTGCTTCAGGCCGGCCTTGACTGGCCACCTTCGACCTAGGCAGGATGGCTGATGAAGAGGGTCCGGACGGTGAACCCCTCAGTGTTGGAGAGATGCTGAGGCAGTGTACTGTCTTGACCGGCGAATTAAGAGAGCCGGATCCAGAGTATCCTGTTGGCATTTGCGAAGTCCCTTTTGCTAGCGGAGAAGCTATCCGGAGTGCATTGATTTGTGTAGGAGAAGCGACAGGCCGCCTAGTGGTAGCTGTTCCATTTGATGCTTGGCACCGCACCGTGGCCCGTCGGAGACTCCCTCAATCGTTTTTGTCGAAAGCAGTTTCAATAGAAGTTCCTTTTTCATCAGCTCGTTCACCAGAGGGCGAGCGAATGAATTCAAGATTGTGGATTGGTTTGTTGGCACCCTCCTTTGAAGAATGCATTTCATTTGATGCCAGTGAGACGCCTTTAGACCTTTTGTTTGATGAAGATGAAGTGATGCTTCCTATAGCAGCTGACTTGGTGACAGCCGTTGAGCGTTTTTTCCCCATTCGAGCAGCAGCACCTAGCAGCTTTGAATCCATTCCCCCCGAACAAGGCGGGGAAGTGCATCGACGTGTTGGTGCTCTGGAGAATACGCTCGCAGATATCCAAAGTCAACTCTCAGCCTTGTTGGCGAAGTCAGATGCAGCAGCTCGGCCCTCAGTAGCTAAGGCTCAGGCCTCTCGCGACCAGAGACGCGAGCCCGCTCAAGCAGTCCCCGCGTTGCCGGGACTGGATCCGAGTGTGACTCAAGCAGCTCTTGCCGCTGGGATCCCTTTGCACCACTTAGAAGCTATGTCAAAGGTTGCAAGTCAAGGAAAGCCTATAAGCTCCCAGATGTGCCCCTTGGCCAACCAGCCAAGAAGAGCTTAGTATCTGACAGCGAAGAGGAGAAGGAATTTGCTGGCAAGAGCGATGAGCTCCCGGGGGAATCCTCGGGGGTGGATCCGATGGTGGCGGCAGTGACAAAGCTGACGTCTATTGCACAGCAGCTCGCTGGACGACAGGCCAAAGAGACGTCCCTAGACGCCCTGCTAGACGGTACTGGCTCTCTGGGGTCCTCCGACGGATCGGGCATGCCTGCTTCACGAAAGAATGCTGCAGCGTTGCGCGCGCTCAAGAAGACTCTTCGAACCGACCCGGAGCAGATCTATCGCAACATCGAGCGCAACATGGAACAGGATTTCATGTTGAGGACACAGCTGCCTGGTTCCGCAAGTGTTCCTGTCAGCGCACGGGGTTGGCTAGAAGCACGGTCCAAGGTTCAGAACTTTCGGACGCCTGTGACATTTCTTTGGGGGGTTGCAGGGCTGCTCGATTGTTTGAGGGACAATCGCATAGCGGAAGCCAGAGCCAGAGCTTGCCTTTTACTCTGCCAAGGCGATCAGCTATCGATCGACAAAGGTGCATGGACAGTTGCTTCAGCGATGTCACTGGAGGATCCACCTCCGTTTTCAGTGTTTGCCACTCACCAGTTGCCGACGGAAGTAGAAGCCCCTGTCACCAAGCTGATCGACTCCAGGTGGATGGACCTGTTCTTGCATCACTTGAACCAGATAGACCAGCTCATCGAGAAGAAGAAGAAGCTCTCGCGGAGGCCCGGCCCGGATCCTGTTTCGACCACCGAGTCTCCGTCTCCCAAGCGCAAAGGCAAAGGGGGCGGAAAAGGATCTGGATCGGGAGAGCATTCCAAGGATGGGAAGGAGAAAGAGGCGGCGCAATGACGCCTGGCTCGCTTGCTGATGGCGGAACCCATGCTGTGGGACCTTGTGAGACACACCCTGTGCCGAGCACTCTTATGTCAGAGGGGGAGAGCTCCCTTTGAGGGTTTTCCTACTGCTTTATGCGGTCCGGGGGGTGATCATGGGGTCTCTCTACAGCCGGAAGCACCGTCTTTGGGTGAGAAAGTGAACAGTGCCGCAATGCATGTGCATGCAGAGGAGGTCGTTGGTGAGTTTCCAGCAGATGAAGGCGCAGTCAAGAGCACTTCAAAGGGCACAATCCCCAAAGTGCCCGGTGCAGCTGCATCTACAGTGAACGCTTCTTCTTTGTGGAATTCGTTGCTTCGATGGATACTTCACTCACATTGTGGAGATCTGAAGTCTTTTTGCTATTCAGCACTCCAAGGCCGCATTGGTGGGAAGAACCTTCACTACCCTGGGCCAGTGTGGCCCATTCCAGTGCCTTTCCCGAAGGTCTTTTGCCGAGGTGAAGTTCAGCCAGCTTCTAAGCAAGCTGCTTGGTATAGAGCCGCTAACATGATGATACTAGTGCTCAACTGGTTGCATATGGGGAAACCTCGATGTTGGCCTAAAGGTTGTGATCCGTTTGCTAGCTTGAACGATGAGCAGCTGGCGATAGTGGAGCGACTGGAGCATTTATCTGGCGAGTGGCTCCTTTTCAGAGATGTCACAGCAGTTTCTATGGGTCGGACAGCGGGTAAGGTAGAGAGCTTGGAAGCCATGGTTCACAAGTTGGAAGCAATAGCAGCTGCTTTGTCCCCTCATACTGGGTCTGGTAAGGGATCCTTGAGAGGGGCGATCCCTTCAGGTGCACGGGAAGCCATGGTAGAAGACATCCAGCTTGCAAAGCCGATAGAAGCGGACCGCTTGAATTTCAAAGGGCGGCCCAGCTTTGACCCGTCGCCTTACCTAGCAGAACCAGCTCGATCATTGTACGAGGACCCCCTCAAGTTTGCCACTCCACCAGAGGAGTTCTTCAAGGAGGTTCCGGCAGTCAAAGCGCGAGGCACTCGAAAGGAACTTCTCGCGCTGCTTGCTGCCCTTGATAGAACTCACCGTTTGGCACTTTTTTCACCTCGAGAAGTTCGCATGGGACATCGGGCAGGGCTGTTCGCTCACATGAAAAATTTGAGTGCAGACCGACTAATTTTCGACAGCAGACCAGCAAACTTGCTAGAGCCAGGACTGAATGAATGGACACAGAGCATGGGGTCATTAGCTCCGATTTTGGGGTTGCATGTTCCACCTGGGCACATCATTGTTGCAGCGGGTGAGGATTTGAAAGACTATTACTACTACTACCTCATCACTCCTTCACGTGCAAAGCGAAATGCCATTGCTATGACGTTGACTCGTGCTGAGGCTAGAAGGTTCAAGTTCGCCTACCAGAAGGCAGACAGGGCGACATCCAGGTACGTACCAGCGCTAGCGACTATGGCGATGGGAGATCTGAATTCTGTAGAATTTGGTCAGAGCGCACATGTTCGACTAGCGTTGTTGCATGGACTCGTCACCGTGAAGGATTTGTTGACCCTCCGTGGCAGAATCCCCCGACAATTCTGGTCAGCCGGGTTTGTCATCGACGATTTCATTTTCTTGGAGGCCATTGACGCAAAAGCCTCGTCATCATCGTATGTCTCCTCTCAGTTGGCTGATGCCATGGTCAAACTATACGAACAGGTGGGGCTAGTGGCAAATCCAGACAAGAGATTCTGTGCGGAACTCCATCCGCAGTTTTGGGGTATTAGCATCGATGGGATTCATGGGTTGGTTCGTGCTCAACTAGATCGAGTCCTACCTATATCGTTTGTCACGGCAAAAGTGGCTCAGATCGGCATTGCCTCGCGAAATCTTCTTGAGATCATTGCAGGTGCTTGGACAGCCATATTACAGAGCCGGAAACGATGTATGTTGCTCTTGGACTTGATTTTTACAGAGATTCATGCCCATGACTATCAGGAAGTGTTTGCCATTCCCCCAAAGCTGTCAGCATATTGTCACACTAGCTCCTTTGTATGTATCTGATTTGACTGCTCCGACATCGACTCGACTCTTTGCTGTGGATGCATCGGATACCAAAGTAGCTGGAGTAGTTGCGGAATTGCCTCAGCAGTTCTCACAAGAATTAGGCAGACACACCATGACCAGAGCTGCTTGGAGCCGCATCCTCTCTCCGTGGAAGAGCTACTTGCGAGTACAAGGGACACTCTCTCCTGCTGATGAGGTGCCTGATGGCGAAGAACCAGCACGAGCCCATCCCCTCTGGACTACGTTGGTCCGGACCCAAAAGTTTCAGCCTTTGTTTAGTCACAAAGTACCTCGTCGACAGCACATCAACCTTAGTGAATTACAAGGGTTGCTCGAAGCTGAGACCATACAGGCAGAAGAAGAACCGTCATCTCGTTGCAATGTGTGCACTGATTCTCAAGTGTCTTTAGGAGCAGTAATCAAAGGGCGATCATCATCAGAACAGCTGAACACAGCGTTACAATGCCATTTGCCTTCATTGTTGGTGTACAACTGCTATCCGGGTCATCAATATGTTCCTTCAGCTGATAACCCCGCAGATGACCCTACGAGGGATAAAGAGCTTAGAAACCCGAGCGAGTCACCACCAACATGGTTGCAAGATGCGTTGACAGGGTCTTATGAACAGCTGGATGCCTTTTTGACGGCTGCCCAAGTGGATGAACTCACCCTCGCACGTTTACCTCGATGGCAAGCTAGCGAGATCCCGGAAGACTGGCTCACATCGGGACGCGAGTGGCGACGAACAGTTTTTGGAAAGACCAAGGGAACTTCAGCTGCCCCAGCTGTAGCCAAGACGAATGAGCCTTCCATGCCTCAGCTTTGGACAAGGAGCTTGCACAGGCCTCTTGGAGAGGAAGCTACAGGGTTGCTACGTGAGCTGCCTGAAAGCTTCTTTTGTTTTCCTCGGGGCTGGACCCGGGCTCAGCGGCGGCTCGCTCTTGCTAGTTCAGGGACACTAGATTTGTTTTCTGGCAGCAGAGGGTTAGCAAAAGCGATAGCTCGACACACAAGCTCTTGGGTGTTAACATATGACATTCTGCATGACAGGTCCCAGGATTTGTTGTCCACAGCAGTGCAAAAACAAGTGGAACAGCTCCTTGGTGCAGGGTGTTTCGAGATCTTGACAGCGGGCCCAGTTTGTGCTAGTTTTTCTAGAGCAGTCAGGCCCCCAGTTCGGAGCAGAGAGTGTCCTCGAGGCATATGGCAGAGAAAGTATCAGAAGGAAACCGATTTACAGCATGGCTCGGTTCCTTAACACTAGCTGCTTTGAAAAGAGACATGCTTGTTTTGATTGAGAATCCCTGGATGTCCTTCCTTTGGGATCAACCGGAATGGAAAAAACTGCTGGAAGAACCTAAATGCGGCTTTTTTTCTGACAGACTTCTGCGTGTTTGGAGTTCCTTGGAGGAAACGCACTCGGTTCTTTACTAATAGCAGTTTAGCAGGGGAGAAACTTTTATGCAGCTGCCCGACATCCGCCCGACATATCGTCTTGAAAGGGTATTCAAAACAGCACGGACGTCCTTGGACCAAAGTTGCAGAAAGCTATCCTGCCAGACTCTGTACGGCTCTGGCGCTGAAGCTCAGTGATGACCGCTTACCTGTTTCAAGACGGAGGCGGCTCGACATTGCGGCGTGCGCCAAGTGCAATGACCGGATTGGCGAGGCGGTGAAACCAGGTCCTCGACCTTTGAGAGCACGGCCGGCAGTTGATTTGGAAGAAGTGCAGCTGCTGACGACGCATACATTAGTGATACAGCAGAGAGCTAGACAAATGTTTGTTTCCTGGCTGCAAGATGAGCTTAGCACAGAGGTCTTCGAGAGTTTAGCCGCTCGACCAGATTTGTGTGTCGTATTTTTGCGAGCCTTTGGAAGATTTTTGTACGCCAATGCTGGACCGCTCTATTTGTTTCGTCACCTAGTTGTTTACTACCAGCGTAATTTTCCGGCTTTCCCAATCCCTTTGGGAGACGCTTGGGATTTGATTTCAAAGTGGGAGCGAGTTCAACCGGTTGAACATAGGAAACCGATGCCGAAGCTCGTTTTCGATTCGATGATTTGTTTGGCCTGGCACTGGGGCTGGAGACGCTGGGCAGCAGTTTCTCTGCTGGCCTTCCATGGGAAGATGCGTGCGCGAGAGCCTTTGGATGCGCAAAGAGCTGATTTACTGCTGCCTTGCGAAACAGGAGCTTCCGTGCCGGCGGCCTACCTGAACATCCGGAAACCCAAAACCCGAAATCGAGGGAAAGGCGTAGTGCAACACGCCAAAATCTGTGATGACCTTGCTTTAGATGCCAGAGAAGGTTTTTACCAAACTTATGCCTCAGGAAACTTTGTACCCTGCAAGTCCAGGAACATACCGCCGAAGGTGGGATCTGTTGCTGTCGCATTTAGGTGTGCCGAAGTCGATCGGCTTGACGCCGGGCGCCTTGCGTGGCGGCGGTGCCGTATTTTCGTACCATGAAGGCGCCCAGATCAGTGAAATCCTTTGGTTGATGCGCTTAAAGAGCCTCATCACTTTGGAAAGTTACTTGCAGGAAACTGCAGCTTTAAATGTCATGCAACAGCTTCCAAATTCAGTTCAAAGTTCAGTCCAGCCTTGCTTCTCCCAACTGTTTGGCGCCATACTCCATAGCAGCGCACGTAGCGCAACAGACGCACAGTCCGCTTTTTGCTGCTGTTAAGTCCGATGAATAGTTGTGGAAATGGTGTGCTCCATTTGTTGTCAGCTGCAAGCTGCTCTTTAAAGCTTGAGCTTTTTGAAAAGAGCCTCCGACATGCAGCTTGTTTTGGCGCTTGGTGGCGCCACCCACGAACGTTTCTAGACTTGGCCTGGAGTTCAAAAGAGGCCGTTTGCTGAGAGGCGGACAAACATGAATATGTTCTTTTGAAGCTGTTTATTCCGCCTTGATGACTTGCAAATATTCTAAGTCTCCAAAACTTTTTGCAAATTCCAGTTTGTTCCAGTTGGAAGCAGCCAATGCAGAGCCAGCACGCTTGGGGCTTCCTGTCAAAAGCTCAAACTCATACCCACACTGCGATGTGCAACTTACCCAATCATACTAGTACTACTCTCATCATCTCGCATCTAGTACCGCAATGTACTGTACTGTTTACTGTAATTTGGTGCCTGGAGTATGACCGAGATGCAAGGTGACCATATCTCCAATCAGCGGCAGATTGGTAGCCACAGGCTCATTTGAGTATACATGCCCTGTGCAACTGCACAACGCAGGAATACTATTGAGAGTAAGAGACGTATACTCTTCATGCGAGCAAGGATGGTCGTGCTCTTCTTCACAGCGCGCTGAGGCCTTTTGGTCCGATCGCATCTTGCACAAGGTTCAGGCCAGACGGCCAGACTTGAAAGCTGTGCCCACGTCAGGATGTGGCCACAAGGGAACAAGGAAGATTTTTGTACGAAATATCTTTTGTTTAGATCAAGGGATTTTTGTTCTTGTTTCTGTGACAGAAGGAAGGACCCTGACTCAAACTCAAAAGGAGCAATTAACCCCAACCACAAATAAAGAAGTGAAGCCCGACTCAAAACCCAAAAAAATAAGTGCCTGGTAGTTTGTCTTGTAACCATTGGGGAAGAGAGATGCAATTTAAACAGCTATTTTTGAAGCTGTACAACTGCCGCTTCAGTCAGGCTAACTAGCCTCATCCCCCACAAAGACCCCACTAAAGAACATACTCAAAATAAAAGGACCGGATAACCCCACATGTTAAGCTTGTAAGAACTATCAACGATAAGTTTGATAAGAAAAGAGGACGGAAAGATACTGGACGATAAAAATGAATGAGATGAGTGGTGTGTGGTAAGTGGTGTGTGATGAGTGGTGTGAGATGAGTGGTGTGAGATGAGTGGTGTGTGACGGTTTGTGTAAGATGAGTGGAGTATGGTGAGTGGAGTGTGGAGAGTGGTGTGTGATGCGTGGTGTGTGATGAGTTGTGTAGGATGAGTGGTGTAAGATGAGTGGTGTGTGATGAGTGGTGTGAGATGAGTGGG